GTCTCCGGCGGATATGAAGCCTTTTCCACACTGGCGGCACACGTAGGGCTTTTCTCCAGTATGTATTCTCACATGGATGTTCAAGTTGCCCAGTAGTGAGAAGCACTTGCCGCAGTGAGGGCACATGTGCGGTTTCTCGCCCGAATGGCACCTCATGTGCGATTTGAGCTGAATTTTGTTAAAAAAGCGCTTCCCACATTGTGTACAAAGCAGCGGCTTATCTCCTGTGTGATTTGAAAGATGCGCTAACAGGCTGCTGCGTAAAGCAAAGCACTTTCCACACTGGTCACACTGATGTGGCCTGTACTCGGGGTGTGTTTTCAAGTGGACTCTCAAATCACTGACAACGATAAAGGTTTCGTCACAGAATCGGCACTTGCCCGGTTCCCGCTCTTTCCGTGGAGGCACCTGAGGTTTGATTTCATGTTTCTTCTGGTGCATCACTCTGGCCCGATATGACCCAAATGTCAAATCACATTTGTCACAAGTGTAACCTCCGTTTACAGCAGAGGCTGTATGCTCTCGCCTGTGGGCCACCAAACCTGTAAGACTGCGGAACACTTTGCCACATTCAGGGCATTTGTGCGTGCAAACTACCTTGTGTGTCCGCTGGTGGGTGTACCAATTAGACAGAGACTTAAAGCCTGCTCCGCACTTGATGCATTTGTACGTTCTCATCTTGCAGCTCTTCTGTCGGTGGAGAGCCAGCTGCTTTGTATCACTGAAGACCTGGCCACATTCGCAGCACTTTGGTGCAGTTCTGCTGCTGTGAGTCTTCTGGTGCTTAAGAAGCTCAGAGCGATATATAAAACGCTTGCTACACTCTGGACACTTATAAAGCCTCCTGCTGAGGAGGTAAGAACCTTGTATAGATGTATTTCCAGATGAGAGAGGTGCAGAAGGACTGCTGGGGTCCTGGAAAGAGCCAGGTTCTTCAGGAACCTCATCTATGAGAACAGGAGAGAAAAAACAAAGATAACTTTAAAACATGACCCAACATAGTCAGCCTTTACTGCTGGATATCTTGTCTTATTTACAAAACATTACGGAAACTAAGGGGAAAAAAGGTCCAAGTTTAGCTTCAACTTTAGCTGCTTGAAACCTACACGAAACTAAATTGCACTAAAAAGTAGCAGAGCTGGGAAACAGGACGAGTGCTGGAGTGAGGTGTTGAGTGGTAACTGACCTTTTCCAAACTTTGATGTTCAAACAATGCAGTGGCATTAGATGGTATAATTAATAGGATGTCCATTCTTTTCAATGCACACTGTGTTAGTTTTGCATTGTGAAGTCAAGATGCATTGTTACACCCCTGTTATTAACTGTAAGGCTGGCAGTTGCATGCTGCGAGTTGCCTGCAGTATGATTTCAGTTTAACTTTACAGTAACACAAAGTTGTACACGACGCATTTAGTTACTCTACTAGTTAACCAACTTAGCAGCTCATATTTTTTGATACTGTATCGTACGTTGTCCTGGTGTAATTTACATGTTGACAGCGTTTTTGTCATGTTCTTTGAGGAGTGCATCTGGATCTCCTCTTATGTAATAATGTTCATCCTTTGGATCTCAAGTGGATCTGAGCTCTGTTTTAAAAATAGCCCTCGGATTTTATTTTGTCCAAAAATTAAGCGAACACGTTAGCATTCTTACATCCCTATTATTTGTGCAAGTTAGACCAAAAATGATAGATGGATGGATGGATAGTACTCACTGTTCTGAACATCCCTGGTTGAACGTGAAAGCTCCAATGGCAGGGTGATTTTCGTAAGCGGAATTCTGGGGATCTGCATTTTGGATTCTTGACCTGTATTATCCACTGCTGCCGTGGGAGGTTCAGAAACACCACTCTCTGAACCCTCAGTATTCTTCGGCTCTGCACTAACTTCTGGCATTTCGATGCTTGGCAAAGATTCAGTCATCTGAGCTGGCATTTTGCTCTCCTTTTCCAAATGTTTGATAGCTTCTGTGATCTCTATTTCTAAGTTCTGCCTCTCTGCTTCTTCCTCTGTTGCTCCTTCATTGGCTCTCCGAGATTGAAGGGTGTTTGGATGTTCTGTTGATGCAGTTTCATCAAGACCTGATGCGAGTTCTTCATCATGCTCACAAGTATCTTCCACTTCACACTCGTGCTCCACAACCTGAGGTGCATGGGAAGGGCTCTCTGCGCTGAGGAAAGGCTGTGTGTGTGGCTGGTCACTACTCTGGCTGGACAGAACTGTGTCCATCAGAGGAGGGAGGGACAACGAGGAGATGATTCTATCCTCCACTATCGATGGGAGAACTTGTATGACAAACAAAAACACACAGAAGAACAAAATCAATTCTCAATAAACTTCAAGTTCAACTCAAATCAATTCTCTTTGTATTACTAAATGTTCAAAGTCCAGACTAAAGATGCTTCTTTTCTCTTAAGCCTTTGACCTTTTCGTACTTTGTGTATAGACTTTTCATACAGAAAAATCTATATATTTTATTTCCTTATTATGTTTTTTAATTTGGCTTAATTTGAAAGTCCAGTTTGGGAAATTCCTATTTTTCAGTTATTTACCTTTTAACATTACCTTACACTATGCAAGAGGACAATCTTACATCTAATCTCCTCAGAAATATCTTCTGAACTCTTGTAACTTAATAGACAGTTAAATTTGATATTAATCAAATTTTGATATTTTAACTTTTAGAGAGTATAATATAGAACAAAATTTAGATGTAAAAATGTACTTGCCCAATAAATGAATAAATGAGGATCTTACCATTATCCTCCAAAGGTCCACAAATATCACTTTGCATCAAGGGTAGCAAACTCTCTGTTCTACAAACAGACTCCACACACTCATTCAGCTCCCAGTGGCAGGCACCCAGCAACGATGAAGTCTGGAAAAAATATTGATAATGTTTCACTCATTTGAAGTATGGAACCAATCATGTATTTGGACCCTAATACGCTGCGAGGCTTAAGGTCAAAAGAATAAGCAGGTGTACACGGTCAAACCTGTTTGAAGTTTGGAACTGGCAGCAGCTGTTCCAGTCTGGAGAGAAAATGGCCAACCAGGACTTGCAGAGCTTTGTCAAAGTCAGGACCATACTCAACAGGAAACACTTCCTGGTGATTTCAAGGTAAACAGAATCTTTTTCAAAATTCATATACTGCACCCACTTATTAACATAAGTTATGTTAATAAGTTTAATATGTGTGTTTCTCTCTGACATACACTGACCTGAAAGAAGTGCTCCTTCTTGGCAGGGTCCTCAAGCAAGCTGAGCACAAGCTTTAATAGGTTTGCCTGTAAGCTTTCTACCTCAGGATCACTGCCCTAAGAACACAAGCAGCATGATAGTCATATTAGAGGAGTAAGTCTCCACAATTCCATCTCATGCTTTTGAATGTGGCTGGTTGTGACATGGTTTAATTGGTGTTGTTTGGTTTTCTCTCTCGGTTGATGTGCTTGATGCAGTAGCCGTTTTTGTCATGTCTTTTCATCATATGTCACTTGGTCTTTCATTTTAAAAAAATATCTCCCAAAAAATCATTAAGACTATACATATTTTATTATATATATATATATATATATATATATATATATATATATATATATATATATATATATGTGTGTGTGTGTGTGTGTGTAAAATATAATGTATATAATATAATAAATAAAATATATATACATAAAATATGTATATTCTACATATTATAGTAATGTATTCTGGCACTGCCCACCCAGTTGGCAAAACAACCCCTGACCCTGCTCACTTTGGATGAATGAGAGGATTGGATCCTGTGTACGTGTGACTTCACTGTCTGAAGGTCTGCTGGCACTTCATCTCGGCACATCTCCAGAATCATCTGAGGAAAGAATCATCACAGAGTGAGCATTAGTCTACACATCAGAATTTATTTTATTTTATTAGGAGACCACAGGAGAAAAAGGGTGCCCCATCCTCAGCCTGTCCCCACCCCTGCCTTCTCTGCTCACCTTTGCTCTCAGCCCCATTATCAGCGTAGCCTTCTGTCTGCTGGTCAATACTGCTGGGACCAGCTTAGTCACCACGGACACAAATTCTTCCAGTTTTCCATAATGCTCCAGATTCTGCCGTTGCGCAATTTGCCACATGAAGGCGGACATCAGGCGCAGAGGTGGAACCAACAGGCGCAGAGAAGAAATCGGAGGGGCAGAACCTGTAAGGATCAAGAGACAAGATCCATACGACAGTACAAATAACCTGCACTTGCGCAAAAGTCACATGACGGTCCTGATAACGTTGAGTCTCCCTAGCGACGCTAACACAATCTGACCAATGAACTAATTTAGCTAACTTAGTAACTTCCAAACCTTATTACTGCCAGGATAAGAACTCGAGTCCCTATGTTTACAGCTACAGTCCACACCGACACACGTGTCTAGATCTGAAAAGTATTACAAATCCAGCATAAATCAGCAACAAAACTTTCTGGGTCACTCTGCAAAAGCCTGAAACTGGCTAAACAGCACTACACTAGCCTACCAGCTAAAGTGCTAGCTATGTGTCAAACCAACTAACGCTAGCTTACCAACTTAGTGTCGACTTTATATAAGACTTAATTAGGCAAATGCGACATGCTTTATATAAATTGTTCAGGAAAGCAGTTAAAAACTCATACTCATCGTGTTCTTCGAGAATTTCGTTGAAGTTTATGATAAAAATGTCTCGTTTTACTGTCGTTGGTTGAAACCATTGGCTGTTAGCTGCAGGCTGGGAGACACTACTGCGCATGCGCATGTCCACAAACAAAAAGCAGAAATGTTGAACAATTATTTCTTTATTCAGTGTATTTATTTATGTAATTTATGTGAAGCATTGCATTCAAAGCAACTGATAAATCGACATAATAATAGATATAAAGTATCTTATTTTTCCTTTTTTAATTTTTAAGCTCTATTTTGTCTCCTCTTGATCCAGACCTGTAGGCGGCGACGCGCGCTCAGGTATGATAGAAAAACCCGCCAAATGGAAGACGACGAAGAACAGACCCACAGGCTGGTCACAAGGAAAATAGAACGCAACAGAAACGGTTAATAATGAATGCTTTCTGCTTTACACCGATTTTCGAAGAGTTTTGGTGTCATGACTAGATTAAATTAGCAGAGTGCACACCATGCAAGCTCCGGAAAACGGTACAATGTTTTTGTTTACTAGCTGACAGTTCTTGTGTTAAAGTTTGGACTGTAGCAGGCTGACACTGTCTGTATGTGTTTAAATGTAGCTGCCACCATCATGCTGCCTTTACTCTTTTCGCTTACATATCATCATTTATGTCACTTACATCTTATTAATCAAGTCTTTTCGTGTCTTCGTTTCAAAACTGATGCACTCTGTGTAACTGGGTAGGTGCTGAGCTGTTTTTGCACTGCCTGGTTCCTCCTGTGAGGCTCCTTTCAGCAGCCATATGGCATCTGATCCAGCAAGAAGATGTCCCAAACTATGGCCTCCTGGAGGAGTTTGTGTCACTGGTCACTGACACCATCCCAGATTTGTTAAGTTACCGGCAAAAGGCTCAGCTGACCATAGGTCTCAGAGCAAGGGTGAGTAAACTTGTCCATACATGCAGTTGTGTGGCTTCTGTGAGATGTTTTACAACTACTTAGTTGAGCTGGTGGTGTGTTTAGCAATATCAGCACAGTCGCTTAGTTTTTTGTTCGAATTTTAACGCATAGTTAGAAAAGAGCACTTTTTTTTACTATAATACCGCATTTCAGCTTGTTCTGGAGCTGTGCAGCATGGAAAGGCCGGCTGATCCTGACATAGTTCAGGCCCATTTGCAGCGCATCCAGAATCTCCTTTCGCTGAATAAGGAACTGGAGGTCAGACCAATTATTTGGTGACTGTCAATACGAGTACATGTTGTTTTTGTATCTGCATGTATGTTCAAAAGCACTAGAAGACTCTAAAACCCTATAACAGGTGTATTATTACTTTAATTGCCATAAAGTAAGACTTCCGCAGTAAAGTAAGAGGTACTCAAGAAGTTTTGTGATGCAGTAATGAACAGTAACAGAAAGTCTGCATTGTTCATAAAATTTGTGTTAAATTTGCATCTTGAGTCCATGTCTCAGCATATTTGTGTGCTTTATGTTTTCTTGCTGTAGTCAAGTGATGCCTATGTAGAAGAATCTGGAACAAACTTTGTGGCTCTGGTGCAGATTCTCATAAAGGACCCAGCTGAGCGAAGCATGTTCTTTAAGGTCAGAACAGTTTAGCATTGTATTAGATTATTGTACTAAATTATCTTTTGTTAGGAAACTGGGGTATTTACTTTGAATACAACAGTGTCAAATTTTACAAAGTAAACTTTTTTTTTTTTTATTCCTTTCCAAAGGATGTCTTTCCTTCGCAATATGGTGCGAAGTTCAGTACGGCCTTGAAGAAGCTGATGTGGCTGTTTCTCTCTAGACTAGAAGATGCTCTCCCACAACCTACTCTGGAAGAGGTATGAACACAGAAGTAGCGTTTACTTAGCAGCAGTCAGCACACAGTTCAAAAGCCAGCATCGATGATGGTATAGGGGTGCATTAGTGCACACAACATGGGTGATTTCAGTGGGTGCACATATGTGAAGGCATCATGCTGAACGCTATACAGGGTTTGGCAACATATGCTGCCATCCAGACAACGTCTTTTTCAGGGAAGGCCTTATGGCTCTTTAGCAAAAGAGTTACGCTTCTAAACTGGCCTGCCTGCAGTTCAGACCTGTGACCACTGAAAACATTTGGCACATTTTGAAACAAAAAATACAATAAAGGAGACCCCAAACTGTTGAGCAGCTGAAATTTTGTATCACGCAAAAACAGGGAAATATTTCACTTTCAAAACTACAGCATTTGGTCTCCTCAGTTTTCAAACGCTTTTCTCTTGTTTTGTTAAAAGAAGAGGTGATGCAACACAGTGGTAAACATGCCACCGTCCCAACTTTTTTGAAATGTGTTATAGGCACCAAATTCAAAATGATCAATATTTGACATGTTGTCTTTGTACTATTTTCAATTAAATATAGGGTTTATGTGATTTGCATATCATTTCATTCAAGTTTGATTTACATTTTGCACAGCGTTCCAAGTTTTTTGGAAACAGGATTGTAAATATAATAAAATTTAAGTAAAAAAGAAATAAAATGTTTGTATTATGTTATATATTATGTAATAACACAATCATTGGTTTTGACTATATTTGTATGACTCTTTATATGACTTCATATCTTTTTCCACCCTTTTTCTTCAGATTGCCCACATGCTCAGCACTGCACCTACCACCATGGAGAAATGTGTTCAGTCCATCTCGCAATCTCAACAGCTGAGAAACTTATTTAAATATCAAAGAGCTGCCAGTGTAGAAATTAAAGGTTGCCATTTTCCCCATAAGCTTAAATGTTATTAAACTAACATAGTATCAGTCATTTAGTTTTAATGTTTAACTTAGCAAAGCTAAAACATTGCCATCGCTGATTTTTCTCTGACTTCATTTTTTTTATCTTTCTCTCTGCAGAAAAAGCACAGTTATGGTCCACCACCCCTGATGATTGCATACTCTCCTGTCTTGGTAGTCATCGGTTAGTACAAATAGTTATTGAAGAACAGACCCACTTGGGTAGCCAGTCAGAGTCAGTACTAGACTACCCTCCCTCATATTGTCAAGAGGTACAGGTGGAATCTGTAGTTATTGCTCAGTACATTGACGATGACCTGGAGACCGGGTCAAATATATGTGACGAGAATGTTGATGAAATAGAATGTTTTGATGCTGGCGAGAACAAAGAGTATGAGCTACACAGTCTTGATAAGGTAGATACTGAGAATGTCACAGAAGTTGTATTTGAGCAGGTAGAATCTGGGGACTTGAGAGCTATTGACTTTGTACTGGATGAAAGTTCTGAAAAGCAAGATGCCCTCAAAAGCGAAGTCATTGTTGAGGATATAGAATCTTGTAACAGTAGAAAAGAGACCACTGTTTGTCTGGAAAATAGTGGAATGCCTAAGGATTGTGGGACGGACAATAAAACTGACTGCGACAAAATGGAGTTGACACAGGAATGTGCTAGTTATCAGTGTGGCCGCATCTCAGGTTCTACCGTAGAAGCAAACACCAACTCAGATGATATGCTGCTGGAATCAAAAGAGCTATCTGGATTGGTTAGCTCCTGCTTGGTTAAACAACCCTGTGTCAAGCTAGACAGGCTTGACATGACTGGTGAACCATTTCCTCAGCCTGAACCACCCAAACGGGGTCGAGGTCGTCCAAGGAAAGATACTCAAAATAAAAAAACACTGTGCAAGGAAAAGGAGCAAGACACAACTGTGGCTGGTCCCTGTGCGTCACTTGACAAGTAAGCCACTAAATTTACATTTTCATTGTCTACCTGTGACCAAATTCAGTGACCGATTTGTTGCCTTCTTTCTTCTAGGCATCCAGAAATCCAAAATGTTTCCAGTGTCTTCCAAAAGTTAAAGAAGACATGTAAGAACAAGGTTTTCTGTTTCAAAGTCACTGTTCACATACATTTTGTTGGACCGTTAGACAGACCTGGTCCTATTCAATGAAAAAACACTTCTTGGAGTGCACAGTCACTCTATTGTACTGCATTAAGTGCAATCTTTGTGTTTCCTTTAGATATTGAGGTGAAGGGGTCCTCTGTGGTGTATGCCTGCTCTCTGTGCAATTTCCAAGACAGTGAGGACAAACAGCTGCACCACCACCTTATTGTCCATCATCCAGAAGAATATAAACAGCTATGTGAGGCTGAGGAAGAAAAGACTGTACACACGAGTGCATCCCATCATTCTGAAAGCCAGAACAAGCCCCTCACTAAAATTAGGTTATACAGAGGAATTCCAGTGTGCAAAACCTGTCCCATATGTGGGAAGACTTTCACTCGAAGCTCAGATATGAGAAGACATCAGACATCGCACACAGTGGCACGTCCATTCACGTGCCTGTATTGTGAGAAAACGTTTCGGTACTCCTTTGATTTAAGACGACATCAGCAGCATGCATGTACAAATCAGGGTTATGTGGTGTTGGACCAAAGCAATGCAAATGAAGTCATAGAGAACAGTAGTGAAATTAGTCCTATTTCAAGTAATGAAAACAAGCTTCCCTCTTCTCCTGTCAAGCAGCAGTCTACACGTAAACAAGATACCATATTCTGTCGTGTGTGTAGAATAACCCTACCAAACTCCAGCAGCCTGAAAAGTCATGTGGAGACCCACTCGAAAGGGATTCTCCATACATGCCCTTGTGGAAAGACCTACAAGTATTTGGAAAACATGAGGACGCACCAGCTTGTGTGTCCAGAGGCTGATTTACACAAGCATGAACAAAATCAGTGTGACGAGGACAACACTTTCAAAGACAATGAAGTAGTGATTACTGATTCAGGAGAAAACTATCCTCAGGATCTTCCCAACTTTGTCAAATCCTCTGAGGAGCCTGACACTGAGGACCCAGAAGCTGCAAGAAATCCAAGCCCTGGCCAAGGTGCTGTCTCTGATTCAGGAAACCAGATACTACATGTTGTTGAAGAGAAGCCAAATACTGATGCACCAGAGCCATCCTTCAGTTCAAGTTCAAGCTTGGTTGGCTCAGACATGAGAAGGCACCTGAGATCCCCTTCAGGGGCCTATCCTCATAAGTGCTTGCAATGTGGTGACAGTTTTAAGTACTCTTACAATCTGAAGAAGCATGAGGATGTTTGTGAAGGGAAAAAACAACCCAAAGGTGCAGGGCTGCTTTATTCCAAAGAGCACAGTGGGTCTTCCAATCTGGAGTCCAGTTGCAAGACCATTGAGGCCACCAGTAGTCCTCTGGATCCTTTGCTCAGCAAAACCCCATCCAGTGAAAATACGGAGGAAGAAGATGATCAAGAATGGCAGGAAAACGAAGCATCATCTACAAAGGCCATACCCTGTGGGTCAGTCTTCACCCGTGAAAAATGTGACAAGAAATGTAAAGACCTGCCTTCACTGAAAAAGCATAAGAAAACTTGCGACAGCAAAGAGCAACGCTACAAGTGTGTGAAATGTGGTTCCTTATTCAGGACGTTGCTTGAGGTCAGGAAACATGTGCATGCTCACTGGGGAGAAGACCCCCTTCAGTGTTCCCAATGTGGAAAATACTTCCAAAACCCTAGTGAACTATCAAAACACAAGGTAGTTCATGAGAGAGAGCGTAGCTATCCTTGCACTTTGTGCCTTGACACTTTTGGGCGACTTGACTATCTGAGGCAGCACTACCATGAAGTCCATGAACTCAAGGGTCCATACCAGTGTCCCCACTGTGATAAAACTCATGCAGACTTGGGTTCTATGGTTGTACACATTCGGACACATAATGATGAACGGCCTTACCACTGCCCTCATTGCTCAAAGAGATTCAAACATCGCAGTGGGCTGAACGTCCATGAGAAACTTCATTCAGGAGACAGACCGTTCCTTTGTGAGGAGTGTGGAAAGTGCTTCAGCAGTAACATCCAGCTACAGAGGCATTCTGTTTCCCATAGAAACGAGAGACCCTACACATGTTCTGAGTGCAAGAAGTGCTTTAAATCGCAGCATGCCCTCCGTGGACATTTCCTGAAGCATTCCAAGCCAGCGAACATTCCTTGCAAACTCTGTGGGAAGGTGTTTTCGCAAGCATCGGCACTGGACAGACACCATCGCACCCACACAGGAGAGAGGCCATACAGTTGCCCCAAATGTGACAAAACGTTCCTGACCAGTGGGGAGGTGGGGAAGCATTTGCGTTATCACACCGGAGAACGGCCTTTTCAATGTACACTTTGCTCCAAGAGCTTTACGCAGACGTGCTACTTGACCGCACACATGAGGATACACACAGGAGAGCGACCATACGTATGCGGTGTTTGTGATAAAGGCTTTGTGTGCAACACTCACTTGAAAAGACATATGTTTGTACATACAAAGGAGAAGCCATTCAAATGTGACTGTGGAAAGGCCTTTAATCGAACAAACCTCTTGAGGATACATAAGAAAACTCAATGTTTCTTAGAAAAGAAATAAGATTTCACAGACACTGGATTTTCGCATCTATGAATTATAGCCTTTAAAACACCACAAATTGTAGTGATTTTGTTTGTATTTATTGTTGATTATATGAAGTATTATTTTGTATATATTAAAATAGAAGAAAGTAAGTCTGCTGTTTCCAAATATTGAATGTGTGAAACATTTAAAACATGAAATTGACATTTGAAGCTCTTTTTATAAAGCTTTGGGTTATTAAATTGTCATGAGCTATTTGGAAAATGGAATTATAGTAAATTATTTATGGTTAACTTTAATTGAAAAGCATAAAGCATTTTCTTTGAGTGAACCACAGTATCCAGCGGGTTGGGGGGGGGGTTCCTCTGAACTAGCTAAATGTTTTCACTCAATGATAGGTGAGGCTAGTAGGAGGAGGAGGTGTAACAGATTGTAAGTTAATGGTATTTTTCACCGCCCACTGGTGCATGGTGATGTCATCAACTCAGAAGACATTTTTGAGGTGGGCAGAAGTCATTACATTTTTTAATTTTTTAATGGAAGATTAGAATTTTGTGTTTGCATGTATAAATTGTGCTTAATTTGACCAGGACCATGAACAAGGTGAAAGAGGTAAGGTTGATGTCAGGTTGACTTTAACGCTGACAATAGGTCTAGTTGTTCTGTTAGTGATGGCCAGTATGTTTAACTATGAGCAGTATTAAAGCTTCCAGTCACTTCCCTCATGCTTCACGGACAGAAATAGTACAACGTCTAAAACATAGTGTACTAATGGACATGTGATCTATAAAAACCTCAAAAGCAGCTGTTTTAATGCTACTGCAGGCACCACCCTAGAAGCAGGGTGTAGCAATGCTACTTATCTAGGTCTTGAGAGTAATCTCTCCAATGCAGCAACCAATAGATATCTGTTTTAGTGACTAGTCACTTGTGGCTGAGATCAACAGTAAGTAAATTCATATTGAAAATTACAATGATGAAATAGAAAGCTGCATACGGGATATTCTCTGCTTACTGAACAAATAATAAGCCAAACACACATAAGTGATGAGCAGCAAAGTGTTAAGAGCAGGCCTAAGATGTTTTCCCTCAACCCTAACAGTACTGTAAAATTAAAATATTGCTCAAGATGGGTGTAGTTTCCATCCCACTTCCAACACACACATGCTTTCCAAAATCCATTTTTTCTTTCCCACTTTCAAAGTTAACTAGAGCCTTTAGGGGAAAACTGACCTTAACAAGAGTAGTCAAAATGTTCCTTTAAAGCAGGGGTGTCAAACTCAGCCACTAAAGGGGTCATATTAAAATCAACAAATGTTGTGCTATAATCCAAACTGGCCATTGTTTATTGAAAATAGGCAAAAACTTAAGCAGTAAAGAACAGGCACTTGGTAGATCTTGAAATATTACATGAATACTTGCAATATTCAGAATTTAAATGTCCCCAGGAGTTCGGTCTTTTAAACCTTTCTATTTGTTTGAACTAGACACCTGGCATCCTTTCTTTGCTGCGAGTTCATTAATGCTTGAGCTTGTTAAGTGTTTATGTTGGTTGAACTGCAACTGAAATGGTAGTGCATTTGGTGATATGACTGGTGTGGAATTGCGTAGAATTGTGTAGAACTGAGGTGTAACCCCTGTCCCGTAGGCTGTTGTTGGGGTAAGAAAGTCAAAACACACGTTATGTTGCAGTGCCTGCTGGGAACTGTAGTGCAGCGCATTGTGAAATGGACTAATATTAATAGAAAATTTAAATGCTTTTGTGGGCTGGGTAGGATTGGGTCCTGGGCCTTGTGTTTAACACTTGGGCTTTAAAGTGATATTCTGTCCAAAATGAAATTGTAACCATTGCTTCAACTGTTGTTAACATGCTTACTCAACTCCCAACAGCAGTGCCACAATAGTTGCTAGAGAGAAATTTTCAGTTTAAATACTAGGAAAACCCCCTTGTGATGTGTTGTGAAAGTGAGAGGAGCTCTTGAAAACTGGGATTAGTTTTTAGGGGTGGGCTCTTTGACTTTTTTTTCTTTTTCTCGCTAGCAGGTTAATGCTAAAGGAAGCCAGAAAGGTAACGTTAATGCTAGGAACCGGGTTATTAAATGTGTATTATTAGCCTCTACATCAGTGGCTATGCTAGCAGTCATATTTCTTTATCACTGTGATGATGCAATAACTTATTAAATGCTTTAGGCCAAATATTAGGGGAATGTTAATTTTTACCTTAATGAGATATTGAATAAAATGAGAACATCAGCAGCAGTTGTTATCCTGTATTGTACCTGCACCTGAGCTAAGGATGAAGTTCTTCCTGAGATGATTCAGGTGACATATTGGAGCAGGAAAGAGAAAAACTGACTTACGGTATTTATTTTGTAAGTGGAAATAGGTGAGCAGGGGACCTTTATTTTGATAACATTTCAGTTTGTTTGGGGAAGAGCAGCCTGGCTCCTGTGGTTACCATGGACTTCCTCCCAAAGCATCCCAAGCAGTGAAGGAGAAAGATGAGATCCAGTGCACATAGAGACGATAGAGACGAAGTAACCTGTCAGACTTAAGGGAGTAACGCAGAAACGTTGTGTGAGCCACATTAAAATGAACATATCGTAGCTGAGAGACGTTTTAATCTAATTTAATCCAGCGGTTTGAAAATCATCCTTGCTGTAACGTTAGCCCAGCCCTGACTCCCTGTTAGCCAACCTTCCCAGCTAGCATGCTCCTCCGGCCTTGAACGGTAAGCATAACGGCCAGTGTTACCGGTAGGTTAGCAGCTCTGGCTAACTTCGTTTTAGGAATGATTCACTAGGCAAGTTTAGGTGTCTGCAGTATGATAAAACCCTTCATTCATTATCTGCATAACTATTTTAAGTCCCAGGAGTATATCGTGATGTGATATTCTCATCCTGTTCATTATAGATTTGATATATTTAATGTGCAGATTGAAATGATCCATCGCTACCACTGTGCAGCTAGATGTGTAGTCTATGTTCCACATTTCTCTCTCTCTCTGTCTCTTTCTCTCTCTCTCTCTTTATTGGATGAACATGTCAATCAAACCCATGTCCTCTCTTGAAAGGAACCAGCTCTCATGGACCTATGCTAAAGGAGCAGAAGCTCTGATATAAAACAATTAATACCTTTGAAACTTAAGACTAGGCTCTTTCTGAACGTTTGAACAACTTAGTGGCCTTCCCAGGCAATAACAGCAATAGGTATCATTGAGTGTTGTCCGTACCATGACTAACAAAAACAGAATAATTATTTTTATACTTGTTGTACACTGTTTTGGACACCCAAAACTTGATGCAGTTCTGTCCCACATTTAGAAACTTTAGAAACATGCATTTCCCCAAAAACCCTCAGAAGTGTAAAAAAACAAAACTGAAAAAGTGTTGCCCATTTATGTTAAATTCTTTTTTATCCTCAGGGTTTCGCTCTGGATTACAGACTTCAAAGTGCAAGTTATTCCATGTCGGCCTGGCTTTGACATGAGGAGCGGCCACATTCATGCCAAGAGGCACCATGGCTGCTAAGGTGAAGTGGGTGACTGACATCGAGAAATCTGTTCTTCTCAACAACTTTGAGAAAAGAGGATGGGTGCAAGTGACAGACAGCGAGGACTGGAACTTTTACTGGCAAGACAACAGTTACTCCTATGCCATGATTATATTTGCGAGTATTTTAGCTGCTCTGCATGCTCCATTATTTCTTGCTTACATTTGCATTTGGATTTATACCCTCTGCAGGATGAGTATCCAGACCATTCGGAATGTGTTTAGTGTGGACACGGGCTACCGTTTGTCTGACGATCAGATGGTAAACCATTTCCCGAACCACTATGAGCTGACAAGGAAGGATCTGATGATTAAGAACATCAAACGCTACAGGAAGGATTTGGAGAAGGAAGGAAGTCCTCTGGCAGAGAAAGATGAAAATGGAAAATACATTTACCTGGGTATGGTAACCCTTAGCAACTTGTCTGTCTTCTGTTGATGTGTAATGTACTCTTTCCTATCTTGAATGCACTTGTTTTGTTTTCTGTCTATATTTATTTCTTATGTTGGGGTATAATATGATGATATATTGTGATTGTGTGATTATTACTCAATATGCTTCTGTATGTATATGATGGGTATCATCAGTACTACAACAGTGAACAACTGCATGTATCAAAAAAAGACAAGTTTAGATCAGTTCGGTCGTAAATAGTTTACTTTTGCAAACACTCTCCTTACCTTCTCCTCTGCATTTCTTCTCATGATCTGCTATTATGCCTTTTTGTTTGCTCTTGTTTTTCTTTTTCATCTGCTGAGGACAGATTTTGTGCCAGTGACATTCATGCTGCCGGCTGACTACAACCTATTTGTTGAAGAATTCCGTAAGAGCCCGTCCAGCACATGGATCATGAAGCCATGTGGAAAGGCTCAGGGTAAAGGCATCTTCCTCATCAACAAACTGTCACAGATCAAGAAATGGTCCAGAGACAGCCGCACTTCCACGTAAGCTCCACTAGGGGAAGTAAAATGTAGCATTTGAAAGTTTGTGTATGTTTCTAACTCCAGGCTAGCCTATAGGATTACGCCCTGTAATGCCATTATTTCATTAATTTTTAAGGAGTATTTAAAGCTTTTGGCTTTTAATCCCTTTTTCTTTTGAAAACCCCTAGTCGAATTACATGATTTGTTGTTTTTCTAAGTGAAAATAAGTTTGCACATCCTATACATCCTTTTGCACAGGCCCTATTTTATGTTTTATTTTTTTCCCAGTATGTTCAGCAAAAACCAAAAAAACATTAATTGTGCATTAAAACATGCAAAAGTGATCCCTGTAGAGAATGTGTTAACTTCTTTTCACTAAGACAATTACAAAATGTCATCTGACCAGAGGCACTCATTTTGCATTAACTGTAAATGCCTTTATTCTACGATGCATGCAAAAGTAGACTAAAGAAGACATAGCTGTGTTTGGCAGAATAGCTGGAAGAGTTTAGACATTTTCATTTAGACTTAAATTCATTGTGGTTTGCTTGCAGTCAGAAGTTTGCATGCTTTTTGTTACTTCTTTTAGGTTTGTGGCAGCTAACAGCGGGAAGGAAGCTTATGTGATCTCACTGTATATTGATAATCCGTTGTTGATTGGTGGGAAAAAGTTCGATTTGCGACTGTATGTTCTGGTTACGACCTACAGGCCGCTTAAATGTTACATGTAAGTACTGAGCAGGAGCCCTATGCATCCAAATTTAGTGTTATTATTTAAGCACAATGAAATTGGACACAAGTCAATTGCTGTTTTTGTTTTTTCAGGTATAAACTTGGATTTTGTCGATTTTGCACTGTTAAATACACTCCCAGCACTAGCGAACTGGACAACATGTTTGTGCATCTTACAAATGTTGCAATCCAGAAACATGGGGTAAGTATAAAAGTACACATGCATGCAGTAAAACATGCGGCTTTTTGAATGTATAAAAAAGTTATATTGATCAACAATTACTCTTTATGTTGGTTAGAAGAACAGGCTTCGTTGCTGACTTCTTGGTGCACTCCAGCCATTGCATTGTTAAATTCTATCAGCAGCACACCTGATGTAGTTTAATAGAGGATTTATTAAATAAACTAAGTGTTGAATGGTAAATATATATTTTAGACTTCCTTGAGAAGAGATTTGGAAATGATTAAGATAACACGCTAACACACATCAAGCCACAATGTATTGTTTATTTGCTTATATTGTAATGTTGGTGTTTTTTGAACAAATACATGCACTTTCCTGATAAGTGGAGTAACATATTTTCTAGGATGCCTAAGACTTTTGGACTTATTCTTTATGTGTATGTTTGTGTGCATGTAACAGTAAGGCGTGTGTGTCTTCTGCAGGATGATTATAACCATGTGCATGGTGGTAAATGGACCGTCAGTAACCTCCGTCTGTATCTCGAGAGCACCAGAGGAAAGGAGGTCACCAACCACCTCTTTGACCAAATCCACTGGATCGTGGTGCAGTCGCTTAAAGCCGTGGCTGTGAGTGAACTCAGTTATGTACAGTACTGTGCAAACGCCAGAGAGTACCCATTTATTTGGTTTCTAGTCAAAATGCCGATTGAGTAAAAAAAAAAAAGGCAGAAAATTACATAGAGGCTTGAACAACTAACTATAATATAATTTTTTTCAGAATTTAGTGTGACGACAACACAAACTCTTCAGTGATGTTGAGCTTTGGACTCTGGGGTGGTCAGCCCATTGTTCTGAGGGTACCAGCAATTTCTTTGTTTGGTTTGCACATTTTCTTTGTTTTGTTTTTTTTCTTAACTAAAGCTTTAAACAACTTTATTTCCTTTTCTCAGTAAAGGCTGCTTGACAGCTGAACATTCTTTCAGATTCATAGTTTTGTCTTCTCACAGTGGAAGGATGGACAGAAACACCTGAGTTTTTGTCAGATCTGAAGCAAGAATGGAGCTTGATTTTCTCCTCTCTCTCAAAGATGAAAGCTTTAAGTACTGTTTATCTGATGGAGACAATTTTAGTAGTCTACCAGGACAGTAAGGAGTCACATTTTCTCTGTATTTTTAATCATTTTTTTATCTCCAGATTAGGAAACTCCTGCTTTTTCCTGTTTTTTCCTTTTTCTTATGCAACTTTATATCTAATTTCCTCAGAAATATCCTGTATATAACAACTTGTGCTTAGTGGTAGTTTTAACTAGAAATGAAATAAAGAAGGAGTGGACTTTTGCACAGTACTGTATCCACACACATACCATTTATTTTTTGTCTGTCCATCTCTCTCTTTCTCCAGTGCATTGAAGTGAAACAGAGACTATGGACCTGAAGTGCACACATTTAGCTACAGTTAGAGGGTGTGTGTGTACATAATGGGTGAGGCATGTAGGAAGTAGCTCTTTTTATGTAGTGTCATTGTCTAATTTTGGAACATAAAAATAATTGGACAGTTGGCTGCTCGGATGTGTATTGGCCAGCTGTTGTTGAGTCATTTTTGAAGAAGTCACAAATGTTCTGGATTCCAGATGTGGCATTTGGATCTGGAGGCTCTTGCTGTTATCTCTCGACATAAGGACCACAGAAGTATCAGTGCCAGAAAAGCAGGTTGTCATGAGGCTCAACACACTGATCAGTTTATCAGATTGCTTGCTAGTAGAGCAAGGAGAACCACAGCAGTAAATGATTAAAGAACACTTTCAATCATGAAGAAAAAAACAATGAAACAATTGCCCAAAATATTGGCAACTACAACCACAAAGAATCCAAGAGCTGTAGCAAGTTGCAAATTACTGGTAACAGAACAGAAAATACAGGTTACAATTTGTTAAACAGTAAGTTCTGAGACCCAGTAAATGATATATGTAAATACCCCGAGTTGAAGCTTATAATTTGTATGAAAATTGCCTCTGGACTTTTCTGTAATTCATAAGTTTCAAAATAGCTTACATTTTAATATAAACTATTTTTTTAACATTTTATAAACTCTTTTCTTAGAGAACTTCCTTTCATTCCTTGTTATTATACTTTCTTTGTGGAAGGAAAGCACTTGAACACAGTGTTCATTTGCAATGTTATTGGAAATACTAACCGCAAGGCACTACCAGATATACAGCTTCCTTCCTTTCCTTTCTCCCACATTCCTCCCACAGCCCGTTATGAACAATGACAAACACTGCTTTGAGTGCTACGGCTATGACATCATCATTGATGACAAGCTGAAGCCATGGCTTATTGAAGTAAGTACTGCATCTGTACATGCACAGAAATGCATGCAAACCTACTCTTTCTTCATTTCTTCATGTTAGGCCACATAAATACACACAAATTTTACATCTAGTTTCTTTATATGCTTTAGATCTTAACCTTGACACAACTCAGAATGCTGGTTATAACTAATAATTACTCATGTATGATAGTAAATACCAGTGATCCAGCAATTTGGATCCTATATATGTGTGATTTTTTTGAGGACCAAATGATTGACATTGTGGAAGGTTCCCATGAGATTTCTTAGACAAAATTAACGTTTTATTAGTGAAAAAAAAAAAAATCCTTTTTTGGAAAAGGTTTCCTTTTTGGTTACTAATGTTAGGGTTTGGTTGCATAGCAACATTGGCATGCACAGCAATAGTTCAGTGGAAAATTCCCATGAAGATAGTATTACAAAAGTGTGTCTCACGTGTCCATATCTGTCTGTCTAAAGCTGTTTTGAAGAAGAAGTGAATTAGCAGTGATATTCTGGAAGTGAAACACAGTACAGCTTGTGCCTGTGTTCAGACATTTAACTGTAGCATGCCTGCCCTTCATTCCGCAGCACAGCGATAGTGTCTTATATTTCCAGTAGATAGTAGTATAAAAATGTCTTGTGGTTATAGAAAGTACATGTGAGAGCACTTCGTAACCTATCTGTCTTAACTTTTATGTCTCTTTTTGTTTATGTCAGGTGAATGCCTCTCCTTCACTCACCTCCAGCACAGCTAATGACCGCATTCTGAAGTACAATCTCATTAACGACACGCTGAACATTGTTGCTCCCAATGGTGAAATCCCAGACTGCCGATGGAACCGAACCCCACCCAAAGAAGCTCTGGGAAACTATCAAGTGCTGTGAGTGATGACCTCCTCCACCAATAAGGTTGCAGGGATTTACAAAGTGTATTTGTCACTGTGCCTGAACTGTGGCACTGGACATGTTTTATTTTTAGTCCAACACCTAGTATTTCAAATAAGACTAATTATCAAAGTTAAATCTATGGTTCAACCAAAGATTCACACAATTTCCCCCCTGCCCAGATGCAGTCGATCACCCAAGGCATGTCTGATGTCTGAACTTTGCTTCTTTAATTTAGCACTGTAGCTACAAGGCTAATAAGCTAGCTAAGAAATAATGGAATCTTATAACCACCCAGTAACATTGTGCAAATTGCACGCCCAGCTCAACACACATCTGGCACAAACCACGTCAAGTTATTAAGTAACCTCAAATAGATCTACTTATGTGGCTTTTGACGCTGTATGATATACTGTTATCTATGGAAATGGACAAAAGTATTTTGCATAGCTAAAAATAGTATCTTGAAGTTTAATAGATAACAGTAAGATATACAGTGCTGTGCAAAAGTTAATTTCCACACAAAATGTCCATTAAGTAATAGTTCATTTTTCAGGGTCAGAAAAAAGCTAAAACATATATTTACCCGAAAATTACAGGGAAGACTCATCGACTAAGTATAATAAAATTCCGGTATTTACTGCCCACGCTTTGCCTTTATTACAACTTCCATTCTTTTCAGGAGACTTGCCATCAGTTTTTCAAAGAAATCTGCAGAAATATTTTTCCACACCTCCAAAGTTTAGTCTTAGAAGTTGGTCGCATTTTCTGCTTCTCGTGATCCAAGTAATTCCATACACATTCAATGATTATTGAGAGTTGGGCTCTGGGGAAGTCCATTGTTCTGAGAACACCAACAGTTTTTTTTTGCTTGATTTGCACATGTTCTTCTTCTTTTTCTGTTTCCTTTTCTTGGTAACAGCTTCTTGACAGCTACACATCCTTTCAGCTCATAGCATTGAGTTGTCCTCTCACAGTGGAAGTGTGGATAGAAACGCCTGTGTAATTTTTCAGATTTGATGCAAAAGTTCAGTTTCTCCTAAAGATGAATACTGTGACAGTTTTGGTGATCTGCCAGGTCTTGCACGCTGTGTTAGGAGCCCCATTTTCTCTATGATTTTAAATGATTTTATGAACACCAGTTTCACAATCTTGTTTTTTTCTCTTATTTGTTTTTGACTTTTACCTTCCTTATGCAAGTGTATTATCTTATATCTAAGCTTCTCAGATATACAAAAAATGTATAACTTGTACTTAATGGTTTACTAACTTGTACCAATGTTTACACTAGAAAACAAATAAATCAAGGGTGGGCTCTGGAGTTCCTCCAGGAAGGCTCAAGAGGCATAGGAAGAAGCTCCCTTTTTTGCATGATGCCAGTGACTGACACTGAAAGCATCAGATTTACTGCAAAAATCATGATAAAGAAAAGATGCAGAGAAGAGACAAAATGATTCCATCAGAGAAACATGTCTCTAGTCCTCACCTTTTTTTATCAGAAGCATCACTTTAAAATATTCTGTTTATAAAAATATATTTATATATTTATATATTTATAAATATAATATATATATTTGTAAAAATATTTTGTTTATATAGTATGAAGCATTATTTATTATTTGCATACAGACTGCATCATAGTTGAACTGAGGCTTGTAATATAAGGGAAACATGGTTAATGGTTATAGTTTGGCTAAACCACATAGACTCTAAGAACAGACCACACAGCTGTGAAAGTGCTCCTTGATGATGGATTTAAACCAGTGACCAAAGGATGTCTAAAGTTACCACTGCAGTTCTCCACCCAACTCACTTAGCTGTTGAAGAAGTAGCTAGTGATGAGGCACTAATATGCTACGTCTGACTCAGCGACTAAAAATGAAAACGTAATTCCATGAAAAAAAATTATTACATGATATGATCAGTCAGTGATAAATTCTGTAGTAGTGCTACATGCTCATGATATCTGTGCTGGCACCTCACTCTTCTCCTCTATTTCTCTCAGTTATGATGAAGAACAGGCACTAAGCGAGAATGCTGACCTGCGGAGCCGTTCAGGTCAGTCTCTGGGGTCAAAGAGCACAAGGTCAAGCAGCGTTCGCCCCATCCCAGCCACGTGGAAGTAAGGTCATGATCTCGAGCCGCACACCTCTGCAGCCTCTATCTCATGGTGCAAAGAAGGATTGTGGGAAGATGTGCTCATTCTGTTGCCCAGTCTAAATCTGTGGACTCCGGCTGACTTTGGACCTATGTCCTGTGATGTTCAGTACACTCAGCGTCCACACAAATCTGCGAGGCCACATGGCTGAGAGCGTGTGAAAACCGCTAATGAGAAGGCACTTCAGCTTGACCCATGTCCATGGTTAATGTTGACAACAAAACCTACACATTTGCACAGGAATTGTGTATTACTTATTACTTATAATTATGGAAGACATTCTTTTATTGTTTGTCTAAAATTCTTGATGTTATTTATTCTAATTTTGTAACTCCTTCCATTTCATTTATGTCATCATGTGAGTTTCACTATGAATTTTGGGGAACTCCACAAGCAAATTCTAATGAAGCATACATCCCAAACGGCCTCTCTGGAATTTCACGGACAGTCCACATTATCCCCCTTACAGTCTAGATGAATGGCAGAATTTCTCGGTAACATACATGTCTGCAAGAAGACTGGAGATTTAGATTGGGCTTGTCTTTGGCTGGTCATCAAAAAGTTCCTGCACTTCCTTAACATACTGAGAAGAATGAGAATTCACCAACACACCCTTTTGCATGACATTTAAGATTCCTCCAAGGAGGCTGGAAAAGCATAGGAAGAAGAATCACCCTTTTTTTTGCATGATGCCACGACTGACGCTTAATCATCAAATCTACTGCAAAGTCCTGATGGAGAAAGAAAGAATAAAAGGGACAAAGAGGTTTCATCAGAGAAACCTGTCTCTAGTCCTCACCTTTTCAAATGTGGCCAATTCATTGTTTTTGTACTTTGTATCGCCTTTTTATGTGACTTATTTATTGTTTAAGGAATGTACTCTAGATTATATCCAGATATTTATGATGAATCCTTCTTTCTGTATATTAAGTTTGTATTATTGCATCATGTGCTGTTCAGTGGTCAGTCCTATTGTGCTACAAAGTCCCCTGGGACACAATGACAATGGCACTCTGACCAAAGACATTAGCAACTTGGTTCCAGTATATCTGACTACGTGCCCTCTAAATACGGACTATGCAGCCTTATTTTACTTAAGCTTGCATATAATGTCAAAGATACAATGAACTGTTCAAACTGAATGGCTCTGCTCTCTGTCTTCACTTTTTCAAGTTTCAGTGAAGCTGGACGAGGTCACATTTGAATAAAAGCTTTTCGTTCCTGCTGTGTCATCAACCAAATTCAGACAATCTGCAGTGTTATCAGACGCTCCCCGCGTTCTGCTGTTTGAACAGTGAGTACCTTGCTATTAAGGGCAGCGTTTGAATTACAAACTGAGCTGTGAGTTGATTTTTTTTTTATTTCATAGACGAATGGTGTGAATGTCACTTAGTGGCTAATAAATAAACCATTTAAGGTCGTCACAGTTCTTTACAAAGATATTTGCCATACTATTCAGTACTAGCTTATTTTTAATAAAGCAGTGCTGTTACATCTCATGGGACCAAATTAACATGCCTACAATGATAACTGCAGCACATGCTGTGTCTATGTTTGGTTGAAAATATGATACTATGCCTATAGGCCTGCTTCTATTTAAGACTAAGAGAGAAAATGACAGAAATAGCCCATTCAAACACAACTATTTTCAGCATCCTCTGCTGCTTTTCTACACCTGCGTTTAACCGTCTTTTGTTTCCAATTAATAGTAATCTCATTTCTGATCAACTTCCTCAAAAACTTGAGATGAGGTTTCAGAACCCAGATGAAAGCAGTATCAGCCCGTTGTTAGACTAATACATTGGAAGGTATGTTTTCTGGGGAATTTAATGATTTTTCCCCCGCCTACAGATACACTGACATTGGTCTTGATTTGTCTTTCATTCATTTAAAGCTTAGGGATAAGACTGTGGGGTTGAATAGCAAAATCCAAGCAAACAGTTGTTCAGACGAAAGACATAACACAAACATTATATCTGACACACTGACTTATCGTGTTGTTTTGGATCTACAAGTTGCGCATCTATGCTAAAGAGCAATTTCTTTTATTTGTGGTCAACTTTACAACCTTCTACACAGATTAACATCAAGGTTCCTAAAACCTGCATTGCACATTGAAATGTTTTTCATGCTCTAATACACACATTTTACCCTCATAAAGGGTTTAGTAACGAGTTTCAGAAAGTTTGCTTGAGCAGGAAAAAAACAAAAAACTGAAAGTGCAGTACCGGAACCTGGTCTCAGTATTGAGAAACAGGGCCTTTCAGTTTTTCCCAGCCTTCAGTCTTCTAGTGCATCTGCACTGTACATTTAAGTGTCTTCAGCTCCAAAAAGACTTGATAGTTCACTAAATAGTTACTTAATAGTTCATTAGTTCCTCAGGAGCAGGGAAATCGTACACTTGGTAGGTTAAGTGGACAGCTGGCCTGAAGTTAGACAGTGAAATAGAGCAGTATTTCCCAATCCTGTTTTTTTTACTCCAACACTCCAACTCATCAGCTCATGACCAAGCCGTTTAAAAGGTTAAGTGGATGTATTTGAGCTGAAAGAACCCTAAATTAGGACTATAGGACTGAAAGTGGGACGTGATGTTCCAAAGAGGTTTTTCTGTTCAGAAAGTGTCAGTTAACTGGTGAGTTGAGTCAGTTGTGTGCCTTATGCCACCTTCCTATAATGCCATAAGGCCTCCTCATATATAAAAGCCCAGGCAAGGCAGTGACCAAAGACATTAGAAACTAGTGTTTCTTAATCCTGGTCCTTGAGGCCCATTTTAGTGCTTTTCCTGCTCCCAACACAACTGGTTCAACTAATCAGCTCATTTACAGCCCATTATTGAATTAAAGTGGGAGTGTTACAGTGTAGAAGACAGTGGGCCTCCAGGACCAAGGTTGAGATACGCTGATCTAAACTGACTACATGTCTTCTAAAGATAGACTGTGCAGCCAGACACTGATTGACGGTGAGGGCTGTGGAATCAGAAAAACAATAAGCTGTCCAAACCACACGTCTGCGCTGTGTTGGATGTAGAATAAAATGTGTATAGATGGACTCTAGAATCAGTTTGGGATTTGGGAATGGGCTGATTGATACTGAGCTAGAAATTCTTGTGTTTTTGGCATTTCTTTATGGGAATCAAACCTCAAACAAAAACATAGGAACCGAATGTTTTATTCACACAATAAACTAGATATATGTCTTAAAGTAAACCTAAATGAGTTCATAAAAATGAAAATGATTGATGTCTAGGAGATGGCCTGCCCCTCTGATCCACACACAGGCATAGATACAGAGGCAGAGTGAATAATGGTGATCATTTGGTGTCATTTTACTTTAATAATTAAAAGTCTGTTTATTTTGCAGGTAATGTAATTCTAATGCAAAGCCTTTCAAATATACTTCTTTGATGTCCACATTTGCTAGTTTTCACTGTTGTTATCATAAATAACTCTCTTTTGACATGTGCATGAAGACTTTTAAAGGTACTGGTTTCTGTATTGGTACTGAACTGAAAAGGAAAATAGTGATAACGCCCATTCCTAATGTTTTGAGAGCAGAAGTAGGTAGAGTAGCTTAAACTCGTAATCAAATAAATGTATAATTACTTCAGGGAAAAGTACCTTTTCAAAACAACATGAGTATAAGTACTATAGTACATAATTTATGGACTCTAAATTCTTTACAGCAGTGGTTACAGGAACCAGGGGTCACAATGTCTACAATGCAAATATAGCCATTTTATTTACTATCCAAAACCACCAATCTGAGGATTAAGGAGTGAGTAACTGCTTTTAGAGCAGTGGAACGTCTTAGTACATCCAGCATGAATCAGCATAGGAAATTAAGTCTGTTAGGCCATGTTCTCTTTTAGATGTACTAAATCTAAAAATAAATAAAATAAATGTATATATATATATATAAATGTCTAAATAAAATGATAAAGCTCCAGTGTGTGGGTTTGGGGGAACACAGCTGTAGTTTATTAGAGATATGACATTCCAGTGTGTGGGTTTGGGGGAACACCACTGTAGTTTATTAGAGATATGACATTCCAGTGTGTGGGTTTGGGGGAACACCGCTGTAGTTTATTAGAGACATGAAATTCCAATGTGTGGGTTTGGGGTGAACACCGCTGTAGTTTATTAGAGATATGGCATTCCAGTGTGTGGGTTTGGGAAAACACAGCTGTAGTTTATTAGAGATATGACATTCCAATGTGTGGGTTTGGGGGAACACAGCTATAGTTTATTAGAGATATGACATTCCAGTGTGTGGGTTTGGGGAATACCGCAGTAGTTTATTAGAGATATGATACTCCAGTGTGTGGGTTTGGGGGAACACAGCTGTAGTTTATTAGAGATATGACAATCCAGTGTGTGGGTTTGGGGGAACACCACTGTAGTTTGTTAGAGATATGATACTCCAGTGTGTGGGTTTGGGAAAACACCGCTGTAGTTTATTAGAGATATGGCATTCCAGTGTGTGGGTTTGGGAAAACACAGCTGTAGTTTATTAGAGATATGACATTCCAGTGTGTGGGTTTGGGGAATACCGCAGTAGTTTATTAGAGATATGATACTCCAGTGTGTGGGTTTGGGGGAACACAGCTATAGTTTATTAGAGATATGACATTCCAGTGTGTGGGTTTGGGGAATACCGCAGTAGTTTATTAGAGATATGATACTCCAGTGTGTGGGTTTGGGGGAACACAGCTGTAGTTTATTAGAGATATGACAATCCAGTGTGTGGGTTTGGGGGAACACCACTGTAGTTTGTTAGAGATATGATACTCCAGTGTGTGGGTTTGGGAAAACACCGCTGTAGTTTATTAGAGATATGGCATTCCAGTGTGTGGGTTTGGGAAAACACAGCTGTAGTTTATTAGAGATATGACATTCCAGTATGTGGGTTTGGGGGAACACCACTGTAGTTTATTAGAGATATGACATTCCAATGTGTGGGTTTGGGGGAACACAGCTATAGTTTATTAGAGATATGACATTCCAGTGTGTGGGTTTGGGGAATACCGCAGTAGTTTATTAGAGATATGATACTCCAGTGTGTGGGTTTGGGAGAACACAGCTGTAGTTTATTAGAGATATGACAATCCAGTGTGTGGGTTTGGGGGAACACCAACGTAGTTTGTTAGAGATATGATACTCCAGTGTGTGGGTTTGGGAAAACACCGCTGTAGTTTATTAGAGATATGATACTCCAGTGTGTGGGTTTGTGAAAACACCGCTGTAGTTTATTAGAGATATGATACTCCAGTGTGTGGGTTTGGGAAAACACCGCTGTAGTTTATTAGGGATATGATACTCCAGTGTGTGGGTCTGGGGGAACACCGCTGTAGTTTGTTAGGGATATGAGGTCAGAGAGCCGCGCCTCCTGAGGAAGAGAAGGAGGACGCCGCCGCACTGCTGCCTCACTTTCTATGGACTGAGCGGCTATGAAAAACTGAGGGGAAAAAACAACAAAATATCTAACCAGCCTTCTTATTTCCGCCCGATACGTCGTGTAAATTTGGACTTACTGCGATTAAGGTAAGGTGTGTGTGTAAAGCCCGCTTTTAGTAAGTGTTTTAAAACTTTTTCCTTCGTCATTAAAACTTTCCTCTAAGTCTGCTGTTCTGCCACTAACAGTCAGCTAGCGTAGTTAGTTAGCCAGCTGGCTTAGCTTGCTGGCTAATTTAAGCTAGCTAGCTACGTTATTGGCTAAATATTCCGCTGGCTAATTTGTTCAGTTTGTGGCTGTGTTACTGATTTAACGTTAGCTGAACGTTACAGAACACAAGTACAGAAAAAATATATTTTAACATATCTCCAACGCCAGCTAACGAATGCGACGGCAGCACAGAGGAAACTAATGACAGTTTAACGTTGGATGTCGAAGACGTAAATGGTCGTTAATAACGGCTCTTTATCAGCACGTTACAGCTGTGAAACCAGACGGCTGTCCACGCTGAGAATCTGTCTGACCAGTCCTCAGTATCTCTGTGTCTCTGAGGTGAAATGTAGAAACACATGCTCAGTTTTGAACTTCGAACAGAGCCGATTCGTTGTACCGCTGTGTGGCGAATTAGCCACCTTGGCTAATCTTTTTACAAATTAAGATTAACGTTAGCGGGGTTTTAATGATCCGTTTTGTGTCATTCTCGCTTCTTAATCTTATTTTTATCGATCCTTTTTGGCAGCTCATGAATTTGTGCGCTATATTCAGAGCTTTAACTGGCTGAAGTAGGGCGGGGCAGGGGGCTATAACGTCGTTAGAGCCTTAGTCTAATATCCTAAGCAGGCTAACATGTAGATTGTCTTTTTTTCTATTGCTGGGAACATACAGAGTATATCCAGAAGTTTCTAGAAACCTGCTTGTCCAACGTTTCCTCTGAAATGATGAGGTTTGCTCCCCAACCCCCCAGTATTCTCGGAAGGCTTTAGATGGTGGAACATTGCTGTGAGGATTTGCCTCCAACTTATCGCGGAGGTACTGGCTGTTCCGCAGCTCATTGCTGGGGGCCTTTATTGCCCTCCAGCCAACACTTTGAGTATGGTGACCTTAGGCTCATGTGGCTGCTCGAGTGTCCCATTCATTTGGCAGTGCTTTTCTATGGAGATTACACAAGCTGTATGGGTGCATTTGAACATCTGTGTCAGCAATGAGTGAACCTTAAACTAGCTGAATCCACTAACTACTCTTGGACGTACAGTGTTTCTGTAATTGGCCAGTTCTTTTAAAAGTCTGTCCCTTTAAACAGCTTTAACTAGATCTACAGTAGTGCAGTTTGTGTGTCCGCTATGGTTGAAATCCTTAATCCAATAAAATTCATTTTCAAAAGGTTTTAAAAACGTACTGTTGTTCAAAATTTGGCAGAGGTTTTCATCTTATAACCCTCATATATTCTCTGTTACTTTGCAATGCAAAATTAACCTGCTTAGCAACTTCAACTTTGAAGAACGTTCAGGAGTATTTTCGTACACTTGCGGGGTTACTGTAATAAGTGTTTTGCCTCTTGTGGGCAGTGGTGTGCGATTATGAGCATGTGTGTGTTGGAGGGTAGCATTAGGAGAAGTGAAAGCACCCTTGTGCCCCAGTGGTTCCTGCTTTTGTTGACCGTGAAGGCAGCAGCCTCAGGTGCTTCTGGGAGCCACAGGAAGTAAGCTGGAAAAGTCTACTGCAGCGTGCAATTTTTTCACTTTTTCATCGTATGTGGACTCGACCCCCCCCCCCATTATAGTGTTGTGTTCTCTCTCGAACGCTAAAGTTTTGAGAGAGGGTCATTGTTTTGGCCTGGCCTGTGCTCAGAGGCATTCAGTGCGGGGATCCCATTAAGGGTGGGACAGTATCTGGAAACTTCAGGTCATTCCATGCTCTCCTTTAACATAGTAAATAGGTTGGGGTGGGCAGTTTGGGAAAAATATAAATATGTAATACTTGGACATTTTTATGGGATATGTCTCATTTAAGTTTTTCAAGGGTTTGATAAGTTGTATCAGACACAATGTCCCTGCAAAATATTTTGTACGCCCACATTTTACAAATGAGAAAGTATAAGTTTAGTAACTTTGTTCATCATTTCACATACTGCACATAAGTCTAATTAAAGATGCTCTATTAAGGATTTGAACTTGTCTAAACTAACTACATGAGTCTCCCAACAATAGGATGAACATTATTACATGTTGAGTCTACCCCTCCCACTACCCCCCCCATCATTGAGCAAAGCACCCAGCTACCTCAGACGTCACGGCGCAGAAGGAAAATGCGTTATGATTTCCAGTTTACAACTTTAAGAACGACAGTACCCACAGAATGCTCAAGAAAGCTTACAATCATGTACATTATTGTGATAACAGTGTCATACATATCATTATATCGCCTACCCCCTGGGTGATGATGGCACCCTGTAACACCCTGAGTTTACTGCAGAGGAGCATTCCTAAAATGACATTCTCTGAAATGGCCTCTAAAGATTGTCTCGTTATCAGAATTATTTTCTTTTTCGTAGTGATGCCTGCAGTTGACAGCCCATGTCATCGAACACCAGATAAACTCTGCAATCTTTTAACTTTGGTTTTGGCCTGTTGCCGCTGAAGTGTTGATTGAAACACAAGGGCATATTTGTAGAACGAACTAAGCATAGTTGGTGTTCAGAAATATCCCAGAGTGTTCCCACGAATGTTGTCCGAGCGAAGCTGGCTGCACAGCTGCAGTAGGGTCGCTCTCTGAAACTCAGGACGGAATTGCTTGAGGGATTGATGGGAGGTCCTGTGGGGTTGTTGAACTTTGGTTTCCATGGTAACGCGTCTCCACAGGAATGAAAGGGGGGTAAATTTTCCCAATAAGGTCAAAAGTCAGAAGTCACTCCATGAGAGCTGTTGTGTTTCTTTGCTCAGTTAAAAAATATTATGTAAGAGCTTTTCCGATATTGAGAGTGAAGGCCCTTCAGCGCTTGTTTAAGGTTTTTCATCAGTTCTTATGATGATTACATTGCAGATCCGTGTGTATGTGCTGGAGTCAAGTAGGGATATGAATGTTAACCATTTGTTGTGCAAGGAGTGTTGCACTAGATACAGCTGCTTAGCAAGTGTTTGTACCACGGTAATGTTTGCAAGGAACATTTGCAATAAAAAATTAAACGTGGTTGCCACCTCTATTAGAAATTCATCATCTGACAGGTATTCTTCACCTTGCACCATAAGTGTACGGCACTTCTCCTGTATTTTGATTCATGGAAACTTAAGGAATGAGCTCTAAACTTTGCTGTTTGCCAGCAAACAAGCCCATCACTTTTATTTATATATATTTATATATATATATATATATATATATATATATATATATATATATATGTATGTATATTTATATGTTTGTTGAAATTTTTTGCATGGTCCATTTTTAATTTTTCAAACTGTCAAAAAGGTATTCATTCTTTAAAGAACTGAATTTTCTTTACGTTTTTGAAACAGTAGTTGTTCACTCCTCTGATACTCGACATTAACAAAGATTACAAAATCACTTGTCCGATGTTCCTCATAGAAACTGTGAAATAGTTCCACCCAACTGACATTTTTTTCCACTGTTGATTTGCTGCTGCTCAAATTGAACATGTCTGCAATGACTGGTTCAGGAGACTGAAACAGACAGCATTTGTTGTAATCCTATGTAATAATCTTTTTTTCTCTTTTGCCCAGATTTGGGCACCAAAAGTGCCAATTTTGACCAAAATGTTTCAGTGCCCAAAATTTTAGTGCCACTCTGTATTAGCACTGTTTGAGATATATTATCTCCACATTGCATTAGGGTGATGTCATTCTTACCATAGAGTTTTATACGCAAGTGACATCATTAGAGTAGGAACGCAAACAGCTACATAGTGAACACATGAACAACCAAACAACTATGCTAACATTAACTTCTTGCCTGCAAAAATGTTTGCTGCTAGGCTAAGTGCTGAAAAAACAGAGACCAGAAAACATATTTATCAATCTGGCACATACGTCAATGTGTCGCATCTCACATCATCATTGCGGTGTTCAGCAACTTCATTGCACATCACACATTTAGTCCATGGATTCTAGCCTGCAACCCACTGACATTAGCAAGCGCTTGAAGGGCACCTTCTCTCTGTTTTCTAATAAGGTGTATAGAAATACAGGGAAGGTGCAGCACCTCGTGTGAAAAGGCCTGAGGGAGAAGCTGTAATTTATCTACAGAGGCTCTACTACGTAAACCAAATCTGAAGAATGTGGAATGTCTTTATCACTGCTGATAAACACAATCGCAGCGTGAGTCGGGCCAGAGTTTTAGCATACACAGCACTCATATTAATCATACGTCTCCATGACTTCAGTGCTTATCAGAGTGCCTTTGCCCTCAGGCCTTTTAAGCAGTGTTCACACAATGATTGAGTGTTCTGTCAAGGAGTCTGCAAATATTTTTTTTTTCCATTTTCTTCTTCTCTTGTAGAATCTCATAGCATGTTGAGCACCTATGGCTCAATCACTAGTGGGCCTTTTCATTCTTCTAATTAAAAGAAAGTCTTGGATGTAAGTGTGTGTATCTGTTGTGCTGCTCACTCTTGTTGTTTTCAGAAATCCCCAAGACTTCAGTTAGCTTTTTAATTACTGAAATCACCCAGAAAGCATTAGAATTAAAACTTAGACAGGCCACCATGCACCATGTGAAATGTTATTGTTTCCCTGTCTTGTTTCTACCCTCTCCTCTCCATCTCCTCCCTCGTCCTCCTTGGTCCATAGTCCTACTCCTCCACCTTGTAATTAGTCCTTTCACCTCTGTGTAGTCAAATTAAACAACATAACAGCACAGTTCAGTGAAAGATAAGTTTTTGCCATTGTTGGCTCTTACTGTGATAACACGGTTAACCATCACAGGGCACAGGCCTAATCCTCAGTGTTATGCTTTCTTAATATTCAGGGTTTTAATAAATGTAGCTTGCATTACTGACAGTGCAGGCAGAATAGTGAGGCACGTAGCATGCTAGGCCCCATTTTATTTCAGCTCTTCACCAATGACTAACTTAATATTATT